TCTTTCCCTTCCTCTTTACCGGGTTATCATATAAAAATCAGTGATGTATTCTGTTGGGATTCCTGCAATTATCATTGTTATTGTGATTATTATTTTTCTTCGATACATCTCTCTTACTAAAGTGGCATTTTGTCGAAATTTCTACCTTTTGTCTTTGAATGCACCCAGTAATACATGTTGTTCTTGTTGGTAATATATTATAAGTTTGTAACAGAAGTGGGGAGATGGGAAGGAAGAAAGATGTCCCATTTAAATAAATCCCATATTAACATGTTACTTAAATCCTATGTAATTTTCTCAATTAAGAAATTCTAGAACTTTTTTTAGCTTCTAGCTTACCTTTATTTCTTTTGATTTTTCTCTCCTCAATTGTTTTTATTGTTTTTCTAAGTCCTATTTGATTTTCTAATTTCCATTTACATCTAGCATCACTTGTGGGTTCATACTCTCTCTGACTCTATTATTGTAATGGTTGCCCATCATATCTAATTATAGTCACGTAAGATACTCCTTATTATCCAATCATGTTTTGTTCGGCTCGAATCACCATCACTACCCGTTAAAAGGGCCTGCATTTGTTAAGCAATGAGCTTCTAGTAGCTTGGCCGTTTTCATTTTGAGAGTTAGATTGAGTACATTGACTGAGAACTAATGGACTCATTTGGTTTCATGTTTCAATATTGGTGCCACTATTTGTGCAGATACGAATGTGGCAGCGAGATTCAAGGGATAGGACTATTTTGCAACCGACACCAGCAGCGGCTGTTGATGTCAGTGTTCTTTTGTTGTTAATATTCTACCTTTTCCTGTTTTCTCAAAATGGATGCCTGGAAGCATCATGTTTCCCAGGTCATCTAATTAATAGTCTTAGGTTGGTTGGTTCATGTTTATCTTATTATCTCGTTCTTTGGTGTAGATGTTGCCAACAGTGGCCTATTCAGACAATCCATCAACTAGCTTTGCTGCAAAGTTTGTGCATACTTCTTTGAATAAAAACCGTTGTTCAATTAATAGGGTTTTGGTAAGTTACATTTTAGTGTTTTTCTGCAATATTTTTCTTTTCTGCATAATCTATTTAAAAGCTTGTTTGGACTTGGTGTTGTAATTGTGGTCCAATAACTGTGTATATGTTTTTTGGAGTCTGATATTTTGTCTACACGTGTGTGCGTGCACGTTTTAATTATGGGAAATGAGCCTTTTTTTTTCTTGGTTAGACCTTGTTTTTGTTCCCAACTCCTTTCCCGTTTTTCTCAGCTTTGAGGATTACTTATCCTCTGCCTTTGTTATTGATTTTTCAATCAATATCGTTTTTCTTATTAAAAAAAATGATGGGAAATGAGCTTTTTAAGAAGAAAAAGCATGAGCAATGAAAAGACCTCTGCACCAAACATCTTAAAAGGAATTATGACACCCATACCCAATTTAAGGGAAAAAAAGGGTGAAGAAATCAAAGTATAGTGCGAGGAAATACCCCTCCTAGGACATCTATGTGTAACCCACCCTACATTCCCCGAATCTCACCCATTCTCCCCATTCATACTTGAATCCTTGATGACCTTGTGCCAAAGAGTTAAATTCCAAAGGAAACCTCCGCAACCATGTAGCCCAAAGGGTTTTATTTTTTGCAACCAAATTGTCCAGCCCCAACTCACCTTTCTCTTTTGGCAACTTCGCCAACTCCCATGCTACCAAAGAGAAGCCACCCAGACTTAGAGCTTTATTGCCATCACACTTAAAGGTCACCCTTTTCAACTCTGTAATATCAAATGGTCTCTCCAAAGACTGCTACAACTGAATCCACAAACCCGGTTCAACTCCTATCCCATCAAATGCACCTTCTTGAGACAAGTATAGATTTTGAAAGAAATTCATCATTCTTAACAGTGACTTCTTCTTCCACAAAGGAACTGTCACCTAATTCCAAATTAGAGATCATATTCTGTTTTTCTTGCGCTCATTATATTGTTAAAAAACCTCATATTAGCGTCCTTGTATTTTGTCCATTTGATTTTCGATTTGATTCGGGTTGCTTTTTCCTCATTGCTGTACCTATTATCACCTTTTGTTTTGTTTAGCTATTGAATTGGTAGATGAACCTTGGTATTTACACGGATGAAATAATTGATCTAAAAGATTTGACTTGTGTATGTGATGTGGAGAACTGGTTAACATCAAACTTATGGTAGCTACTAGCATTTATTGGCTTTAAATGTATCTGTAGCTCTGACCATATTCTGTTATAAAAGCAAAACAGCCAAGATGAGGGTTGTAAGTCTTTCATTTATTTTGATTTTATCTTCTTTAGTGAAAATTGAAGTTTAGGACAACGACTTTCAGGTATTTGGCTTTTGGACTAGCAAATTGATTAATCATTGAAAATCTTTTGGTTTTTGATGTTTAACACTTATATCTTCCAAAACAATGAGGAAGCCTACAACCCGGATAGATGGGCTTGATGCTATATTTTTGGATTTTTTTACAGACGTGGCTTATCAAATTAGAATTTAGAGCTGAGCCTTTATTTAAATAAATGGGATCATCATCTTCTTTTTTCACTATTAAAAAAGGAGCTAAGTCTTTGTTGTAAAAAACCCAAGCAATGAATTGGGGCAGGGCGTCCTTTCAGTCTCTGCAAACCGACAAACATAAATACTGAACACTGCTTTTCTATTTTTCTCCCCTTATTAGTGGTTTGTGTTATTTTCTTGGAAATTGGAGACTGCGTTATAATATTTGTGCCACCAAATTCTGATTAGAAAGAGCTACATCCACTCTCATGTTTGCTGACTCTTCTTTTCACAAAGTGGACTCCTACAGGAAGACGCCTTATTACTGGCTCTCAAAGTGGGGAATTTACATTGTGGAATGGACAATCGTTTAATTTTGAAATGATTCTTCAGGTATGCAACTGTAGAGGACATGATATGTTATTTTCTAGTGTAGCCAACATTCTTTTGGTTTAATCTCTGGTTTTCTAATATGCAGGCCCATGATCAAGCAATTAGGTCTATGGTATGGAGTCACAATGATAACTGGATGGTCTCTGGTGATGATGGAGGCGCAATAAAGTAATTGTTCATGTTGATGTTAGTGCAGTATTTACTGATAAAAACAGAAGATAACTTGTGGTACTTCTTTTTTAGGTATTGGCAGAACAACATGAATAATGTGAAGGCCAATAAATCTGCTCATAAAGAGTCAGTTCGAGACTTGAGGTACACATCTGTATATTACTAGTTGAGCACTCTACATGACCCATGTTATTTATGACCTTTTGGAAAACAGCTTTTGTAGGACAGACTTGAAGTTCTGTTCCTGCTCTGATGATACTACAGTCAAAGTTTGGGACTTTGCTCGGTGCCAGGAAGAACGCTCGTTAACTGGTAAAGTGCTTTTAGTGCTAAATAACCATTACAAAAGAGATTGTAATTTGTCACGTTTGATTGGACATTTCACTATGGTATAATGTTTGATGTGTTTTGCCTTCGTTAGGTGATCACATACATTAAGTGGGTTGTCTATATCTTGATGTCCTTTATGTTGGGCTAAGGCCATGATTTATAAAATTATTTCCTTGGATTTGGCACCAGACTGAATATTTTGATGTTTAATGCTCTAGTAAAATTCTAGATTATTTCTGTGCGTTCTGATGATGGAAATCATTATACCGTTAGTAAAAAGGAGTTTAACTTCTTTTGGGCTAGGATTAGTCATGGTTGCATGAGTGCATTGTTTGTGTTCAATATGGTTGAGGATGACAAATGAAGTTTTTGTTCCTATCAAAAAAAAAAAAATACTACGAGGATGATTGTTATTCTAATGTGGTTCTATCTAAGTGTGCATAATGTAACCATTTACATTCTGTTGGGATTTGAACTCAGGCAGGCCATGGTTGGGATGTGAAGAGTGTTGACTGGCACCCCACAAAATCTTTACTCGTTTCAGGTGTTTACAACTCTCGTGTGAAGGTACATTAGAGGTTTTCTTATACGTTCTTCCAGTTTTCATTGTTATGAAATTTTTTTGTACTTAGGTGGGAAAGACAGCCTTGTAAAACTTTGGGATGCTAAGACAGGGAGAGAACTCTGTTCATTGTGAGTACAAAATCTTGATATCTTAGCTTGTAGTATCTGTTACCGGATTTATGAAGAATTTCTGTGTTTATTTGCAGTCATGGCCATAAAAATGTAGTACTTTCTGTGAGATGGAACCAAAATGGTAACTGGGTACTGACTGCTTCGAAGGATCAGATCATAAAGGTATTGAACTCTTCTATTTTTTTTTTCTTTAATATGATTAGAGAAAGGCTTGAATCTTTTTTCTCACTCATCTTTTAATTTCCACATATTGACGTGTCACAATCCCTTCTTTGCAGCTTTATGACATAAGGGCTATGAAAGAACTTGAATCTTTCCGTGGGCATCGGAAGGATGTGACTGGTTAGTGATATTCACCTAATGCAATGCCTTTCTGTTGAGAAGTATCGTCAATATTAGAGCAGTTCTTCTTCTTCTTCTTTTTTTTTTTGCTAAGGAAAAAGAAAATCGCCATTGCCGAGACTTCTTAAAAATATATACAAGCATGCTGTGTTTAAAAATCATAATAAATCCTAAGATAATTAATAAAAGATAATCTTAATAAAATTTCTTAGAATATAGTGATAAGTTCAAAAATTTTCAATTACCACCTTCTCTTCTATCTAATTGTTGTTGCAGCCCTTGCCATACTGTTTGGCATCCCTCATCTCATTGTGCATTGTTATTTTTGTCACGGGATACAATTCACTTGTGGTCATAAATTTGTATTTGACCATTTATTTGTGTATTTTTTCAAGGATATTGATTTGCGCAAAATTCTTTACTCGTGGTTTTAATCTATCTTAATATTTAGATTGCATTTTCTTGTCCTTGTAGAAATTAGTGTTTCCTTCAGCTTAAGTACTTCAATTCAGTTGGCTTACTAAGTGAAAGATAATCTGGAATTCTGGACATTTGTAGTTTGTACCCACCCTTTATGTCTCATTTGCAACTTTCTTTCCTTCTTATTTTTTTTTCTCTCTATAAATCATTTATCCATTTTATTGATTTTCTCAAGTACAAAATCACAAGGCTGTGGCGCTGGGCTCCTATTATAAAGTCCTAATTCGACAAGCCTAGTATTTCTCAAAATAGGGAAACGTACACCAACACTCTAAGTTATAGATGTACACATTTTTTTTTTAATAAGAAAAACCCTTTCAATTATAGAAAATCAATTACAAGGAAAAAGGATGAGATATCCTTAGAGTTCAAAAAGAACAAACAAAAAGAGAAAACTCCAAGAAAGATGATCCATTATTTCCCTATAATTAAGTTATATTGAAATTACATGGACATCCTTGACTGAATCTAGCAGTTGGGATTAATTTTTGTTGAGGTTTTGTCGTTTAGGGTTCTATTTCTTACCCTTTATTGGTGGCCTTTTTGTCCCCTGATGTACCCGTTTTTAAAGCTAATAGTTTCTAATAAAGTTTGTTTCTTAGAAAAAAATTACTTTAATTATTACTATATTAGTGGATGGTTGAAAAAATTTAAAGCGAGCACTAAGAATGCTTCAGATGTATGATAAATGAAAAGGTATCCTGTGTCGGTTTAGCTGCAATCTTCTTGTTCCTTATTCTTTTTTTGTTGAATCACAATGTTGTTAGTGATTTGGCGGAGGTTTTATTTTATTTTTTTATGGTACTTTTTTTTGGGTCTGATTTTTAAGTTCAAATCTCTAATTTTTACGTAGCAAAGGGAGGTTTATGCATTTGAAATAAAAAAATCAAACACCTTAATTCTTTTTCTGATGTTTTACTAATAGAGGGAAGATAAAGGGAGGATTAGGAAGTTTGGAAATCAATTTTGGGATTCACGGTTGCAATACTTCTTGACGTGGGCAAATCAAGGTCCTTAAATTATTTAGATCAATGGTTAGTTTTATCGTATTCATCTAATGTGTTAGGCAAAAGATTCAACACTTGGCTGAAATTAAAGTAGTTTTTCTGGTCATTTTGAAATTAACAGAGGTAGTGCAAGAGAGTGTTGACGTAATATTTTTGGTCGATGGAGTGGAATGTTCGTTCGATGTAAACTAGGGGTGTCAATGTTTTCCCCTCACAGTAACTGTTGTTGAACACAACGCTGGGACAATAAAACTATTTTATTAAATTAGGAGCACTTCATACATCAAGACCCTAAATTACACACTAGAGAGAACACTCAAATATTACACCAAAAAGAAACTTTAAAGAGTACACTCAAAAGCACCTCACTATTTCACTCTCTAAAGCACACACCACACAAAGCTTAACACAAAGCTTTGCTTTGTTTCTGCCGTGCAGCAACTCAAGGAATGGGGTCTTATTTATAGGCTCAAAGATGCCATAGATGGCTGCCCCTTGGACAAATCCAAGAGAGTGGTGAAGTTTCTATGAAGCTTCCTTAGCGTGCACATCACGCTGTAAGGCTTATTTACTAAGGCTTATATATGGGCCTTATCTCAGTTGGACTTGACTTAAGGCCGGGGTTGATCTTTCAACTGTAACCTTTTTACAAACTTTTCAAACAAACTATATGCTGCTTACAACGTAAAGTTGGTAATTTAGGTCCCATTCGTTTTGCTAGTTCGAATTATAACTCAAGTTTTGCTATAGTGATTTCTCATACAAAAATTCAAATTTAACTTTTTTTGTTTTCTCTCACATGAATTTACTTTTTAACCCAAGTTCTCAACTCGAATGAGTGAAATGAACGTTTTCAATATTTGAGATGCTTTTTGGATTCTGAATTGAACTTTTATAAGGGTCATAATGCCTTAAGTATGCGAGTGTTGTGCAACTAGTATTATTGATTTGCGAAATCATATGATTATGATCCTTTATTTATAAGTTCCTCTTTTGTATGTGAGTAGGAACGCTTGTGTATTTTTGTAGTGGTAAAATGTGCTCTTCCTTCCAAAAAAAATATCATGCTTCTTTTTAAAAAGTCTTTTCATTATTATTGAAGTTTTTGTTCCTATAAAAAAAAAAAAGGGCTCTTCCTTTCAAAAAATTATCATGCTTCTTATTAAAAAATGTTCTTTTGTTTGTCTTGACTTTATTGTGCTTGCTCTTTGCTATAGGTGGACCATCATAGTTAGACACTGTATTTTCCCTCCATTTCTAATGCTTCTAGTAGTGTATTATGAGTTTAATTATTTAATGGTGTATTTTTCATTTATATCACTAGCTCTGGCTTGGCATCCTTTCCATGAAGAATACTTTGTCAGTGGGAGTTACGACGGATCAATTTTCCATTGGCTTGTTGGGTAAATTCATTTTCTTGTCCAAATTCTTCTGTTGCTTAATGTTTTCGCATAGTTCTATGCCTCGCCTTTCGAATTAGTCAGAACATAGTGGCACACGAAGAAGGGAACATGGAGGGGAGAAAGGGAGGGAAAAAATCACATGATATTTGAGCATTTGCTTTTGTTTATTATTATTAATGTAATGGTGGATTTTTGTCTCTTTGACGGCCTAAAATATTTTTATTCATTCTGTTCTATTTATGTATTAGATAACATCAGATTTTTAATTGTATGTGTAATTTCTTTATCTAAGAGAGAAAAAACTATTTGTCTGGAAAGCAGTGGTAGTTTTTTTTTTTTTTTTTCCTGCTTTTTGTTTGGGTTTGCAATATCTTTTCACGCTGAATGCATTTTGAAGCAGTCCTTTTTTGTAGAATTTGGAAGTAATTTAGATTGTGGTTATAATCTTATGACTCAAACTTATTTTGATGCACAGGCATGAAACTCCCCAGATTGAAATTCCCAATGCGCATGAGAACAGTGTGTGGGATCTGGCATGGCATCCTATTGGATATCTTCTTTGCAGGTGAAATGCTATGCATTTCTTTATTCCTGCTTAGGGGCACCCTCTGTTATTTTAGTAGCTGTTGATATTTTATCTTCCTCAAACATTGTGCTGTTTCTAGTTCTAGCAATAGTCGATTAAACTTCTTGCTAAAGCTCGTTTATCATGAAAAAGAAAACAAATTCTTTTTGTGTGTGTGCGCGCGCGTCTTCTAACGTAATAAAATAACGGCGGCCTACTACTTTCATTAGCTTCTCAAGGTGTTGCTAGCTTTTTGTGAACAGACCTTAAAACCTGTTTATATATTTTTAATTTATTTTTGTGTTTATTACTCTTCCAGCCAAGCAGTTCAATTTTGAAATCTATGTCTTGTAGATCCGATGTCAATAGCGAACTCTATTATTTCTGTGTTAAGTGAATTTTAGTTAAAATTCCTTGGAAGAAATCTGGTGGGGAATTGAAGGTTGCTATGGGACTGTTTTTATGTTTACTGTAATCCGGTTATCTTCAACTGTCATATAAAGCAACCTTGGCAGGTTGACTTTGATTTATCAAATAAAAAGAAAGGGAGGAGACAAATACCCCTTAGAGTGCATGGGTCTGGATTATTACCTCTACTCTTGATTAATATCTTTTTTAGTGAAATAACTATATTAGTCAAAAGGGAATTAAGTAAGAGTAAGGGGTAAAAGTTAGACCCATACATCCAAGATAAGTTCAGCAATTTTCTCAAAAGGAAAATGTAGGGCAATATGTTGCTGCTACGGGACCATTTCTATGTTTACTGTAATCCATTTATTAGGAACTATGTCATATAAAGGAACCTTGGCAGGTTGAGTTATCAAATAAAAATCAATGCTTAATTTGACTCTCGAACCTTTATGTAGCTAGCCCATTTTTGTCTCAATTACATTGGTATACATTTTGTAAGCAAGAAATATTATTGTTTCATTTAGTATTTTTTTCTTCTGGTTTTCTTTTTGGCTTTTGGATGGATCTCTTGTCCATCTTTAATCTTTTTTATATTCTATGTTCTGCGTTTGTTGTTTTAATAAAATTTTCGTTTGTTTCTCATAAAAAAAAATTATTTTAAATGACTTCATTTGTAAGCTTGTTGCTTTTTGCAGTGGTAGCAATGATCATTCGACAAAGTTTTGGTGCAGAAATAGGCCAGGAGACACTACTCGTGACAAATTTAACATGGGTCAGAGCCAAGGTTTCAAACACCGTATACAAATTATTAAATTGTTTTTGTAGTCCACTGTCTTGTTAAATACAATGTTCTTTTTTTTTTTCCCCCTACAGTTTTGACTTGTCCAATGTCTAAACCAGTTGAGACATCGATACTTCTCTTGATTTTTCATTATCCAAATTAGTAATAATAACATTTAGTTTTTAGTTTATAGGCATTCACATAATATGCTCCTAAATGTTTCTATAATGCACTGAAGGAGGATATAAGATGCAAAAAGCTGTTATAATTTTTAGTTTAAAGTTTACCTAGTTATATGGGCTATAACTTGGGGAAAGTATTTTATGTAATTTTGCACTTTTTGTTTGTTTTTTTTTCCTCAGGTTACGGTGAGAATCCTGCTATTGCTGGTCGCTTTACTGGTAATTTTCCGGCGTCTGAAGGTCCAACAACTCCAGGACCGTTTGCTCCTGGATTAAATAGAAATGAAGGAACCATTCCAGGGGTGGGAGTTGCCATGCCATTATCCATTCCGTCACTTGATACATCAGCTCAAGGAGATCAAAAACAACATCATCCAGTTTCAATGCCTTTAGGAGCTCCTCCTCTTCCACCCGGTCCTCATCCCTCCCTTATTGCCGCCAAGCAGCAGCCGCCATATCAACAAAATCCTCAACATATCCCTCAACAGCAGCATCAACAACACCACCAAGGACTCCCACAACAAATGCCTCCTTTGCCTATGCCACCAAATATGCAACAGCTACAGCCTCCTTCCCATTTACCCTTGCACCCACATCCTCATTTAGCCCGCCCACCACCCCAAATGCCCCCACGTGGTATGCCATCTTCTGTACCTGGATCTCTACCTATGTCCTCACATTCAATGCCGGTGCGTGGTCCAATGGTATTTCAGCAGTTCTTGTATGATTATTTATTTATTAATTTAAATTTAGCAGTCCATATGATTGATTCTTTGAGTGCTTAAGTTTATTTGATATAATAAGGAAGATTCATATGCTGGATTCTCGTCTTTAGTTCTTATCACCACCCTCTGCATTTTTCTGCTTTTTTGGAAATTAGAAAATTGTAAAACAATCTTTTTTTTAAGTGGAATTGCAAAACAACGTTAGATGGGTGATAAGAGTGTAAACAGGATTCTAACTGTAGAAACATCCTCTCTTCTGCCATGGTTAATATTTGATCAGATTCCTAAATAATCTCAGAAGCAATTTAAATGTGAAAAGCCCACTTTTTTTTTTTTTTTTTTAGCAGGAAGTAATTTTGTAAGCACTCTTTGATCTGAAAAGTTTCGTCATTTTTGTTCATAAAACTGCAGTACTACGTATGGGCTATTGACTTTTATGGGCGTGGCATGTCACAAATACAAATTATAAAACTCTTAATTCTTAAGATATCGTTTGAAGAATAAATAGGTTCCCTCTTGCAGGAAGTTTTTTTTTAGTTAGTAATTCGCATTTTACTTTTTGGACTTTAGGGGATGCAAGGTACGATGAATCAGATGGTTCCTCCTATGCCACCACAAGGGCATTTTATGGGCATGAATCCATTGCACTCGGGATCCTTGCCTGCAGGTGGAACGTCTCAGCAGGTTGGTGGTTTTCCAAATGCCTCGCCGAACATGCAGGGCCCCTCCAATGCAACTGGAGCCCCTATGTATCCGCAGGGTGGCGCTTTTAACCGAACTCAAGCTGGGCAAATGCCTATGATGCCAGGGTATAATCCATACCAGGTAAGACAACCCTTCATTTGAAGGGTAATTTTGTCAAATAAAATTCAACTACTTGCCATTTCAGCAACTTCTCATACGTGACATATTAGTTTTGCCAAGTTTTAAATCTAACACGTAAAATTGCAGATACCAGTAATGCAGGGGATTTTTTTTTCTTTTCCTCGGATTTTTATTGTTTTTTAATAAGTAGGGCAGAATCTCAAATGAAAGAGGTTGATTCCATCGTACAGTTATACTTAGTTGGAGACTCGTAGTCAATGCACTATTTTTCTGTCCTTTAAAGCATGATTGTTGTTTTTCTTTTTGTGGCAGTCTGCGAAGCAAGCCGGCATGCCTCAGCCCCCGCCTCAAGGGCCACCGCCTCATGCCCAACCACCTCAGTAGGCTATCTTTTTGCTACTTGTAATTGTATCAATTATCGTAGGGCCAGCGGAACTTTTGTCAAATCTTCTCCCCTTAACTTTGTCTTGCACATCCTATGTTTTCTTGTCTTTTTGTTTCCATTGTTTTCGTTGTATGAATTCGGCCTATTCACTTGTGGTTTTGAGTGGAATATATTTTGGCGACAGCGTTGGGTGGAATCGGCGTATTTACTTGTCGTTTTTGGCAGAGTACACACCTGCAAGTGTGTGAATTTGGCCCGCCCTGCTTTTGCATTTTGGTGGTCGCGGAAAGTTTAGAGTCCGTTTGGTTCATGGATTAGAACCATGATTAGTGAATTACTTTCTCTAAGAGCTGATGTTGGTGAATTTTTATGCTTCTAAGTACGCAACCACCCAAAGCAATTCAATTGGTCATTTAGGTTTTTGGTACCGTTCATGTCTTATATATATATATATAAACAAAAGAAGATATGGTAATGTTATGTTTCCTAATCCTTGATGAATTTTGTCTTCCAGATCAATAATAATAAAAGAAATCCACTCTTCTGCAGCTACACGAGGTGTTGGAGCAAATTTGTGCATCAATAAAAAATTATTTAATAAAAGTTCGCTTTACTATCAGAAATTATGACACTTTTAAACTAATAGTTGATTGGTTATATGTGGTTATTAAAATGTTTTAAAAATAAATCGCCTTTTCGCCAAAATTGGCGAATGAAATTATTCTTATTTTAAAACAGCGAGCTTTGTTAAAATAAAAAGGATTTATTTCAGAAACGTCACTCGAATTGCAAAACTTCAAGAATCAATAAAAAAATTTAAATATACAAATTGAATCTTCCACATTTCTTCTGGCAAAAACTTCATCGAAGTCCCGTGTACTATGAAGAGAAAATGTTACAACAATATATTTAAAACATATGGATAACCTCTTTTAATATGTATCAGGGTATTTCTTCAGTCCTTCACCCTTTTTTTTTTTTTTTTTTTTTTTTTTTTCCTAGAAGACCCATCTTTACACAAATAACATGTAAGTTTTGATATGTAACACGACATTTATCTTAAATATCAATGATTTTGAAAAGGTAAAACTAGTGTCTTTAATATAGATGAATTCGGGGCTGGGAACCTCATGAAAGTCAGTAACATATAATTTTACATGTTGCAAGCGTAGAATTCCCTCTTACAAATTTCAACCTCTCCATGTTATAGTGTAGGATCGGGACTTTTTACAATAATCCATGGATAGATACTTCTTCCAGAGCAGTTAAACAATACTATGACGATTTCGTTGCTTTATGCATTAATTTCGATTTTTATTTAGCAATTAGCAATCCCGTTTGCGACGCCGAAAATCAAGCAAACTGCTTATGCATCCCTCCAACTAATCTTAAATCATGATTGCAAGGGTTTTTGAGACAGTACTTAACACTCGCTTTGTGCTAGCTATTGTGTAAGAGGAACACATTCAAGCTCAATCTCTAGTACCCCCCTCTCCACATTCTGCAGCCGAAGACTGATTTCTTGCCTTACTTTGCCATCAATTAGGTAGATGACACCATCTTTAACAAGGGTACTATCTTCGTTAGCTATCCACTTCCCGAGCTGCATTGGCTCGTTGATTGCTGATTTCTCATAGGCTTTAGCAGCAGCAACCAGGGGTTGAATGTCAATCTCAGCCTCGCCCATGAAATCGTCGTTTTTGAATTTATCCTTGTCGTACACTAGCTGCATGAAACCACCCAAGAATAAAGCGTTTGAGAAACTGTATATGAAAATTTATAGGATCACATGTCAACTTGAGCAAGTTTTATTCTTGTCAGAACAAATCAAAGTTTCTCCTCGTATTAGCAGCTGGGGAATACTTCTCCCACAACCTCCAGAACTTAAGAGAAAAATACTTAAGATACTTCTAAATTTACTGAAGATTCAAAGTGGGCAATAGGGAAAAAAAAGGTGTTTGGCGCTTCAGCCCCCTAAACTTTAACTAAATTGACAAGTTGACCTAGAAGTCTTAGTTGTGACAAATTACTCCCAGAATATAATAAAATGTTGCAGAGTACCCCCAAATCGATGAATGATGTTAAAATTTGAAAGAAAACGTCCCCATGCATGTGATATGACATGCTCCAATCATCATGCAGAATAATAGTCTCTTCCTTCAAACGAGGTCACGTAACATGTAGATGGAAGATTTCGTCTAAATTTTACATCGATTTGAGAGCACCCTGTAACACTTTCAGGGGGTAATTTACCAAAATTAAAAGTTTAAAGGGCATCTAATCATGAATGTTCAGAGGCAGATGTCCAAATACCCAAAAATAAAATAAAAGTTTACAAACAGAACCAAACTGATCAATTGGAAAGCTTATCCTATCTCAAAGCTTCAACTTTTGTCAATTGTAAATATCTAAGCTAGCCATATTCATGATGCGACCAGTTATAAAACAATACAGTATTTGGCGCTTTTGCTCTTAAACTTTCATTCAATGGAAACTTGCCTCTGAATTTTTAATTTCGATCGATTATTCCTGAATTTAACAAAGTGTTGCAAAGTGCCTCTAAATTGATGTGATTAAAAATTGAACAAAGTTGCCCCCATGCATGCTACGTGAGCTTGTCAGAAGAACATAGAATTTCATATCACGAAGGAGCATGTCATGTGGTGCATGGGGGCATTTCAATCCAAATTTTTTCAAAACTCATTGATTTGGTACAATTTGCAACACTTGTTAAAGTTAAACATAAGAAGTAACTTTCCAAACTGAAAATTCAGGAGGCAACTTGCAAATTTTTAAAAAGTCCCCTGAAAAAATAACATGGTGAACATATCTTTATCACAAAAGGGTAATTTGATCCCCCAACAAGTATTTGTCCAAGAAACAAATATCCATAGCCAATGACGTCTGAAAAATGTTTTAGGTTTATTTCATAGAAAGGATAGCAGTTCATCTGTATCAAGGATTAAAATTAACACAAGCCCTTAAAGTTTGCACTTGGTGTTAATGTAGCTCCCAAACTACAAAATGTATGAGAATAGCTTCTAAACTTAACTTTGCCGGTTAAATAATGGTGCAACATGTTTAGTTAAGAACCAGTACACATTTTTGCATTGCCTTTCCTTTTAATGGGTTATATTTAACATCACGGGTTCGAAAAAATTTCCTCCATTGCCTAAATATTTAATAAAGAAATTATAATAAACTTTCACAACAAATCTGATTAAAAAACAATGAAAAAACCCCATAAATCTTTTAACGTTTAGTCTCATAAACATATCCAAAAGTTGAAATCCACACAATATGAGATAACCATGCCACACCTTCATTTAACTGAAATTTTAAAAGGCTTATTAACAGAACAGGCAGAGTTGTTCACGGATTAATTTGACACCATCTATAGTTGAAAGGCCACTCTTACACAAGTAGAAAAGTGTTGGGGCTCCTAATGATTTAAATCCTTGTATCAGGTAGTCTTTTAGGCTAATTAGGTAAAAAAGACATTTATTTTAAACAATAAAATAAACGTTGCTTACCACTTTCAGAGGAGGAATATGTTCAGGAATAGACAACATGAGGCTTTCATTCCACACTGGATTAAGGTTGTTCTTTATAACGCGAGTCTTCACTGACTGCAACAATAAAATATTATGAACAACTTAATAAATAATGAAGTTGAACTCATTTGATTAATTTTCTATATAGGAGTTATTCAGGAGAAGAGCCTCACTTGGTGACCAAGTGCAAGGATGACATAAGGGTCACTTGTCATCACATCTCGAATAGCTAAGTTGGTGCCTTTTACGACATTCACCTTTATCAATCCAACAAATTCAACCATACCTGCCTATAAATGTCACTTGAGCAATAAGATCCATTGCCATATTAAACAAAATATACAAACTTTAATGTCTGTTTTCTTTGTGTCTTGGATTCAAAATACGGTATAAAGTATCCTATTTCTGCAACTACTTTGGACTTGAAAAAGAATCTGCCAGTTTCTGATGTAAGTGCACTTCTGCAGAATGACAGAGAATTTACGAATATGCTTTTACTTAAAAGTCTTTATATCTTTTGTCCTTTGGACTATCAAATTATATTGCATGCATGTCCTACATGAGGGAGTTAGAGATAATTTAGTTGGAGGTACACGGCTGAGGTCTTTTTCTGTTTCTGCGATACATTTAACGAAACCTGGATTAGTTGCATTAGCATATATGAAGCATTGAATAGTAAAAATATCGTTACCGATGAGTTATACTGTTTTGTGGCGTTATTTTCAGTGTCTTTTCTTCCCCAGCTGTTACGAAATGCTTGCCCAATACAATTTTTGGTGACCTGTTTTTCGTTCTGTTTCTTATCGTGATCACTGTTTGAGGATGATCTCTTATGAGTAGGGATGAAGGGACAGGACATTTGATCAGCTGAGACTAAAAATTGTCGTAACTCATATTTCCTCCTGAATATTCAAGTACATTTCTCGTTAGAGATCATTCAAATTTCTTCTAAAAATTACAGACAATTAGTATTAATTCTACTAGTACTACCTGATGAAATCAGAGCGTTCCTCAACAGAGCAATCTGGTTTTGGTTTTTTGATATTCACAGGTATGCAAGATTCATATTTCCCATTCACTACGGTGTTTCCACCTAGAGTAACTAAAGTATCGACTTCTTTGGCCGTCCACTCATCTAGCTTCACTGATAGAACCTGACATAAGTTTTGAAAGAATTATACATGGTGTTAAGATCTGAGAGCAATCTGATACACTTCGTTTAAACAGTAGGTCGTAGAATTCAACCTAAATTGTTAAAGAAATCATTTCCTTCTCAGCCGTAGGTATTCTAGAAACAAACACACTTCTGGATGATGAATGATCACTCAAGAACTTTCCATATTGATTCTACACTTGCATTGTATATTTGGCCAGTTTTCCTACTTCTTGAGACGTTTCTAATACATGTAACTCTTGCTGAGTGTTTTTTTTTTTTTGGTTCCTCTCTATGGACAATAATTGTTGTTGATATGTATAACAAGTACATATATATTAGTGAAATTTCATTCGTCCGCCACCTAGCTTTACTCAAGACATTTCATTTTAGAAGATTAAGTTCATAGACATGGTCAAAAGTCGTACCTTTGATATATGCACTCCAAGGCTTCTATGTACTCCAGAGCACTTGATACAAATTACTACTCCAAAAGTTATAGATCTAATACAGAGTACAGACACAGACAGGATAAAGTCAGTATCCAATGCAACTAACCAGAGGAATGAATATAATAGTTTTTTTATCTAAGATTTCATCACTACAAAAGATGCTATCAATATTTTCTTAAGAAAATTGCATAACATAAATAAAACTTGCATGATTGTATATGCTATATGAGTGGAAGAGATATACGTATATATAGTTGTATATGTATGAACTATATGTAAATATGTGTATAGAGAGAGAGAGAGAGAGAGTGGCCCTTCCAAGAAAATTTGTGCTTCTCTTTGCTATACCATCTTTCAGTTCAGATTGTAACATAGTGAGGCATACATCTAGCTGTAAGGAAGTATTAGCAGAATGTTTAATGCAGTTTGCTTAGTCGTACTAAACAAGGAAATTGAGATGTCTTATTAATTGAGAGAGTGAAGATCGGCTCATAGAAGATAGCCTATAAGGCCATATGACATTTCTTAGTTATCCTTCAACATGTTTCATCCAAAAGTAGTTAATTTACATTAAGTTGAGTTATATTTATTTTAGGTGCATAAGGTGTGAAGAATTTCATAAACTGTCCACTCCATGAGCTCAGCTTTATAGAATTAAGATATTTTTTATTTCCCTCTATAGTTCGTAGAGGTACACTCACACATTTTCAAATCCATTTTCGAAATTGTGAAATGTACACAACCAATATTTCAATTGGAATTGAGAGTAGAATATCACTAATGCAAAACTTTAGTTTATTAATCTTTTTAAGAAACTACATATTTAATTCAGAGTAGCTTTCTCAAAATTAATAATGTGGGTCTCAGAAGATATTAAAACGATAATGAAATTGGATTGCCAAATTCTGTCAATTTACTTACACCCATTTTGGATCTGGAGATCCACAATCTGCACATTGTCTATTGCCGGATTGATCCAAGAAACTGTCCAATCGTTCTTGTGTTCCTGTTCAATAACGATAACATTCAGAAGAGCCTGAATAGAACTTGGAAATCTGTGAAGAAACCATAAAAGTGGGGAAAAAAATCCACTTAGACCGGAGAAGCACAAAGTTGCATTCAGAAGCAATGAAGTAAAAACTAAAATGGATGTATTATTACCTCTAAGAGCCATTTATTTTTAGGCTGAGTTTGGTAAAATCCAAAAGGGAAAGAAAATAGGAGCAATGAAATTTTATTTAACCCATGTGAGGAAAATGGAGAGGAAGGAAAAGACATTACTTCTGTTGTTTTTAGTACGGATACCCTCCTTCGATCCTTGTGACATTTGAAGGATAAAAATTGGAGTCTAGTGGAGGATTTTCAATCCTTCACCCGATCTATTCCTGCCTAAGTCCTACCAAACAAGGCCTTAGATAGACATAAACGCTAAAAGAAAATGTTTGAACAACATGGGGCATTTTGCCGTGATTCGAAGAAGGAACGAAAAGGGGCACAAGGACAAGGAACTTAGAAATTCTGTTCTGAAACAAAAGGAGAAAAGTAAAAAAGTAATCACATAGTTAGGAAACACAAGCATGATATTGGTAATCGCTTAGAACTATTGAGTTCAGAGTCGTAGCTGGACTTCCGCAAATAGGCCGGAGCATAAATCAACAGGAAATCTAAACGAATGCCCCCTCATTGGGGGAACATAAAAATTTATGCACTTTCTTGAACACTATAAGATTTATGCACTTATTTTCCCTCATTATATATCAACTTAAGAAGAGCAGAATTCTAAGAGAATGACACAAAACTAAAATAGTGAGTTAAAGGGGGGACAAATTTCCTATTTTGCTCTGAATTAACCTCATGAACCTTAAAAGAATATGTGAATAATTTTTGCTACTTTTTTATCATCAATAGCATAAACCTGAGTCTCATCCACTTAAACTGTTGTTATGGATTATATGTAAGATCTATTTGACAGCCAAAAAAAAAAATTTTTATTTGATTTGAAAACAATTGACATAAGAATGAAAGTACCAGAAACTGTCTGTTGGTCTCTTCGGTCTCTTCCTGTTTCTGAGCGTAAGAGATCATATAGACAAGGAACTGATCCTGCAAATGTACAAAAGTTGAATTTTTCAATTTCTTTTTTTTTTTTTGTTGATAAAAAATCATTTTTATGTCACAGGAAAATCGTTCTATAAAACATACATAAAAGTGCAACATGAAAATACACCTGAAATAGCACTAGGACCAGAATTATCTTGCTGGGTTGATGTCTCCAGCCTCTCCATTCATTCATTCACAACAAAACCATGAAATTCTAGAATCTGAAAATTCCAACCATAAAATTGCATGCATATAATATACAAATATATATCAGACAAAATGTAAAGAATTCAAAAGGGTTCTTTTTGCTAGAATTCAAAAGGGTTCTTACAGATGAAAAATATGGATTGAAAACAAATTACTCTGTATTGAAAAGGGTTGTGTCAGATTCTTCTCTGCATCAAAAAACAAAAAATGTATGTATGTATATACTGGCTTAATTAGGAGATAATAATTGCAAAGGATTGTTAAAACAAGATTAACGGATAAGAGATAAGAGATTTGTCGTGGGATTTTTGCGAAGAAAACAAAGTGAAGATGAGGTGGGCACGAAGAGAAGATTCTGCATTTGGCTCTTCTGCAGTTTTATTATTTTCTAAATTATTTTTTGATCTGTTTCGTTAATTAAATTATTAATAATAGAATGTCAGTCAATTCCATCAAAAAGTCAATTGGAATGGTCGGGTGTTAAAGGGCGAGAGGTTTTGCAATGGGATGAACATCCACGCGCTCTTATAGACGCGTATTCACAAGTACTATTTCCCAAGCTTTTTTATTATTATTTTTCCATTTTTATTTTGGTTATTTCTATTTTTTACCTCGAAAGTGTAATAAAATCTCATTTTGATCCTTACGAATGTCATAAATTTAAAATTATGATTTAAAATTATTCTTAATTTACACATATTTTTAAAAAATATATATTATAATAAACTATAAATCATAATTTAAAAGAAAAAAGAGAGAAATAGGCCAAGACTTGAGATGAATTAAAATTAATGGATTAATAATTTACATAAGTTAATAAATAGGCTAAATTACTGTTTTCGTCAATAACTTATCTGGTTATGAATCATAATTTGACAAGTTATTCCCGATATTTATTCATAATTTATCTGATTATAAACCATAACTTGACAAATTTATTCATAACTTATAAAATTATGAACTATAATTTAATAATTTATGACATATTAATTTCTATAACTAAAAATTAACTTATATACTTTTTAAACTTTTTATATTGACTTGTTTACTACTATTTTCCTAATTTAAATTATAAAACGTATTATCATACCAAACACTTTATAAATTTTAAGAGAAAGTCTTTTCATCCCATATACGACTTTAACAATACGTGGATTTAATTAATGGCCCCGCAGGTAAGTAAGTGGAAAGAACGCTTTTTAAAAAAATAATAATAAAAAATAAGTAATATGAAAAGCTTAAGAAAGTATATAATTTAATTTTTAGTTATAAAAATTAATATATCAAGTTATGGTTCATAATTAAATAAATTATAGATAAATTTATTAAATTATGATTCATAATCAGATAAATTATAGATAAAAATTATAATTTATGAATAATAATTTATCAAGTTATAATTTATAATCAGATAAATTAATTAAAAATATGAAAATTAATTAAAAATTTAAAGAGATTTGGGATTTTAATGCGAGGAAAAAAGATAGAAAGCGCCGCCAATATGGAATTAATAGAAATTAAAAATTAGATGCTCTTCGACTTCCTTTACTAATTTCCTCCTTCCTTTCTGCGACTCTCATCTCCTCGTGAATTAATTTCATGGATGCATCTTCAAAATGAGAGCACAAATTTTCAGAAAGGAAATATGCTAAAAGTGCCCAGTTTTAATTAAAATAAAAAATCAAAAGGCATTTCCAGTGCAGCCATGCATGTTTCCTTTGAAGATCTGCTCTTTTTTTTTATTATTATTTTTTTCTTTGGATATGCTTGAATGCTTTAAACTTATCATCATCGAATAATGAAGAGGACGTTTGGTTGGAGGATTCAAATCAAGTGATTCGAATTATTTTCGATTTACGTGAATTTTTTGTGAGAGAAAATATTGTAGCGAACCACAAATTATAATTCGAATCAGGGAACGAATCCCTCTACCAAACATTCTCGAAGTGTTTTCAGAATTACGAATAAAAAACTCCTTTTGGTTGCAAAACCAAATCCTCATTTTTCTCTCCTCTAGTTTAACTATTGTTGAAGCAGGTTGGTTACCTCAGGAAAAAAAATAAAAGAAATTACCTGACTCCATTCTAGTGATGATTAAAAAAGAAATCCGTGAATTTGTGCTTGGATTTCCATTCTAGTGATGGAGGTAACCTTTTGAAATCAGAGGTTTTGGTCTGTGGGTGATAATGATTTGAGCAAGAAGAGAAAGCAAAAAAAAAAAGAATTCAAAGATTGTTGATTTGTTTATTTACGTCCAAACTCAAAAAAAAAGTTTGAATTCAAATTATAATTTTATTTAAATTTATATTTTTTTAATAAAATTTAAATTATAGAATTAAAATCTGAGTTTAAATTCTCATTCAACTCATGTTTCTAAACTCAAACTCAAGTTAATGAACAATATTTTTTTTATTCGTAAAAACGACATAACTTTTTCGTTTTAATTCCGATTGAGATGATTTTTTTTCTATGCGTTTACAACAAAAAAACGAATAAAACATCACTCATATATCCTATTAAAATTTTCTATCACTATTGAGTTTTTATTAAAATACTATCTAAATATAAATTTAAGTTTTGATTCACTTAAACACAAACTCAAATAGATTCTTAATTCAAACTATAACTCAAAATGTGCACATCTAAACACAAACTCAAATTATAATCTCAACTCAAACTATATTCAAATACACGTTAACTCAAATCAAGATCTGAAATCAAGTCACTCTAACTCAAAAAATGCAAATAAATAAGCCCTACTTTTTTCCTTTCTTCTCAACATACACCAGCGTATTTTCTCATTGATTTTCCTTCTTGCCAAACACATACATAGAAGAGGAGTGGCTTTTTCTTTAGTTTGAGAGTTTTTTTTTTTTTTTTTTTTTTTTTTTAAAGAAAATAGAAATCTGGGTTTGATTAGTTCAAACTTCAAAGTCTCAGACGAGTAGAAGGAAAGAGACCAGCAAAATAAAACGAAAAAATTCAAAGTGGGACCATAAATTTACATTTGGTTCATGAATTTAAAATTATAATTTAAAATTATTTTTAATTTACATATATTTTTTTAAGAGATAATACTGTAACGAGTCATGAATTATGATTCAAATCATAATATGAATTCTCATACTAAACACTACATAAGAAATTGAAGGTGAGACCTACAATTGAAAGTGACCCATACTGTTTGAGGACAACTGAACATTCTATAGACCCTATTTATTTCACTATTCGAGTTTAAAGTTTAAATTTTACTACAGTAAAAAATTTTAAAAAATAATCACATTTAATTTTTTTATTATAATAAAAAATTCTTAAATAAAAATCATATTTAAGGAGATGTTTGGTTAGAGGATTCAAACCATAATTTGAATCATGATTCATAATTTATTACAATATTTTTTCTCATAAAAAATACACATAAATTAAAAATAATTCTAATCACGTAATTTTAATTCATGAACCAATCGTCTTTTAAGTTTTATGTCTTTTAAGTTTTATTACTCGTGATCTCATACTGATGTGTACAGAATAATAGGTTCATACTTCCTTACGTCCTACCCTCTGATTAAATCGTACGGTTTTCTAACAAAACCCACCAGTAGTCCCAAACTACTTGGTTCACGGGAGAAATTCCCATTTTGTAAAATACTTTTGTTCTTTCTAAAACCACAATATTAAACCTCGCATTTCACTAAAACAGAGAAAATACTTATGTAATTATCTCTAAAAAATAATAACGATATAACAATAATTACAATAAACAGTTCTCTCTCTCTCTCTCTCTCTCTTCAGAAGCAGTTCTTTCTTTTTTCTTTATTTTTCTTCTTTTTAAAAAAAAAATCGTTATTTTCTTCTTTAAAAAAAAAATCGTTATTTTCTTCTCTTTTCGGCCACCAATAGAGTAAGATAAAGAAATAAAAAGACAACTACAAGGAAAGAAAACTAAACAAAAATAAAATAACTTTAAAACCATCTGATAAATCTTTTAGGTTTACAATACAATAGTAACAAGCAGTATAGTGGTGGCGCCACTCCTCCAGTAAACCCACACCCACTGACCGAAAGAATACACACACATACATACTGAGAAATGGCATCGGCGGCGATGGAGTCCCTGATTCTCAAACTCCACGAAATCTCCGCCGTGAAATTCGGAAACTTCAAGCTGAAATCGGGAATCTCCTCCCCAATCTACATCGACCTCCGTCTGATCGTTTCCTACCCTTCTCTCCTCCGCCTAATCTCCCAAACCCTAATCTCCTCCCTCCCTCCCTCCACCTCCTTCGACCTCGTCTGCGGCGTACCCTACACCGCCCTCCCCATCGCCACCGCCCTCTCTCTCTCCAACAACATCCCCATGGTCATGCGCCGCAAGGAGATCAAGGACTACGGCACTTCCAAGGCCATCGAAGGCCATTTCCAACCCGACCAGGTCTGCCTCGTCGTCGAGGACCTCGTCACCTCCGGCGCCTCCGTTCTCGAGACCGCCGCGCCGCTCCGTGCCGCCGGCCTCAAGGTCCAAGACGCCGTCGTTTTGATCGATCGGGAGCAGGGCGGGAGGGAGAATCTCGAGGAGAACGGGATCAGATTGCACGCCATGATTAAGCTGACGGAGATGGTTAGGGTCTTGAGGGAGAAAGGGAAGGTGGATGAGGAGATGGAGGGGACGGTGAGGAGGTTCTTGGAGGAGAATCGGAGGGTGCCGGTGCCGGTGCCGAAGAAGGAGGTTAGGGTTAGGGTTAGGGATTTGGGATTCGAAGAGAGGGCTAAGTTGGTGAAGAATCCGACGGGGAAGAGACTCTTCGAGTTGATGGCGGAGAAGAAGACCAACTTGTGTGTCGCTGCTGATGTTGGGACCGCCGCCGAGTTGCTGGATATCGCCGAGAAGGTGAGATTTTCTCGGTAAAATTACTGATTTTCTCGGTAAAATTACTGATTTTCTCGGGAAAAATTTGACGCGAAATATTTTTGTTTAGATTATCCGTTTTCGACTCCAAGCTAAAGTTGCAGAAATACTAGAACTAGATATAATTTGAATTTCGTTTATATTTATTTCTCAGATATAACAAAATGTTAAACAGAATTCGTACTTGTCATGGGTCTCTGACACCGCACGTGTTAATTGTTGGACGTTCTGATGTTAGAAGGCATGTGCACGTGTAGTATGTCTGTTTGTTGCAAATTGTAACCCGCCGCACGTGTGAAATATAAAAAAGGATACCGCACGTGTAGAACTATAATCCTCTCTCTTCATATTGTTTAATCAACAATAAATTGTCTAATTGCCATTTCTATTTCTTTTTAGTAATATTGTCTAATTACTTGAGAACATATGATCTAATCAACAATAACATTGTCTAATTAGTTGCAAATCGACCGTTTGAGACATGAGATTTGCATGAGACATGAGATTTGCATGTGACAACCTTCATGTGCTAATCTCAGTGTCTCAAACCTTCAATTTGACAACATATCTTAGCTAGTTATTGGACCTCAATTGCAACTGATATTAAAGTTTAGAGTGCACTTTATTAAAATTAAAAGTTCAGGTGTGTTATGTAAAAAATGAATAGTTTAGGTGCAACGATGCATTTTACTCTTTAAAAAAAAAAGAGTAATGCATTGAATCATTCATCAAGGGATGCAATATACTAATTACATGAGCAATTCAAGTTCAGGTTATGCAATCTAGTTTTCATTTTGTCTGTTTTTGAAGCACTAAAATTTGAGGATTTTCTTTTTCCTCTTGAATTATATGTGCAGGTCGGGCCTGAGATTTGCCTACTGAAAACTCATGTTGATATATTGCCTGATTTCAACCCGGATTTCGGTTCTAAACTCCGCTCAGTATGTCTCTATCTTTTTATCGATTTTTTGTGTTTCCTAATTAAGAAACGTTACTTATTGCCTCTGTCATTGTTTCCATAGTATGTGTTTTCATACAAAATGGTCTTGTTTGCTACTTAGTGTACTCTTAAATCGTTTGATTGGATGATGCCCTTTGATGTTATATTCCTACATAGTACACATGAATTTGTTTTGAACCAAATCATGCTTATACTTTAACTTTTGGGTCCTTATTTATATTTTGCTTAATTGAGCACATTAAGAAAGTTATAGCTGACATTTACTTAATCCAATTGAAGATTGCAGATAGACATAATTTCCTAATCTTTGAAGATCGCAAGTTTGCAGACATCGGTAACACAGTGACAATGCAGTATGAAGGGTGAGCTTGGATTCCTCGTATTCTTTTCATGATTTTCCTTTTGTGATCATGTTTTCTCTTGCCTGAGAATTCTCGGTCCCCTGTTTTGCAGAGGTATTTTTCACATATTGGATTGGGCAGATATAATTAATGCTCACATAATCTCTGGTCCTGGGATAGTGGATGGACTGAAATTAAAGGTCTGCAAGATATTTACTACAATTGTCGATGGAATTATTGTCTCAAAATAAATTGCCTCTAATCTGTTAGTATCCTTGTAACTTTTTGCAGGGCTTGCCACGCGGTCGGGGCCTTTTGCTGCTTGCCGAAATGAGCTCAGCCGGAAACCTTGCCAAGGGGGACTATACGGTTGCAGCAGTGAAGATTGCTGAGGACCATTCAGACTTTGTCATCGGCTTCATTTCTGTAAATCCAGCATCATGGCCAGGGGCGCCTATAAATCCAGCTTTTATTCAGGCAACCCCAGGAGTCCAAAAGGTCGTAGGTGGTGATGCTCTTGGCCAACAATATAATACTCCCCACTCTGTAAGTGTCTTGAAATGATCTTGGTAGCTTATGTAATGCACCTACCATTTTGTTTCAATTTGAGGAAATGGGTGTATTTTTTGTCCTTTTCTTTCGCTTATTGTGCTTTTGATATATTTTTTAATCAACTATGATAAGTCTAAGATGGAATTGCTAAGAAATTAGTATTAGCGGTGGTTGCAAGAAGATTAAAGAATGGGATATGCATGGCAATGGTGCATATCCCAGTGGTGGAGTTGTATCTAGTCGTAGACCATCTCCAATGCAAATACTAATGCCAATTGTATATTTAGTATAAAAAACTATGATATGGTATGTTATTTTCATTTTTGCTCCAATGCATAATGCTATTTGAAATGCTAAATCTATTTTTTTTCTTAATTATTAAGATTTGGAAGTTGTAAAAGTAAACTTTTATTTTTAAAATAATTAGAAAATGCAAAAGTTACATTAATTACATGGAAAAAGTAAACATTTCAAGCAATAGTAATCAAATGCCAAATTTCCCATATGCTATACTTGGTGGGAAATTTGTCACAAAATATAGCATATGGGAAAATTGACACAACAAATAGCATTGTATTGGAGAGTGTTTTTTACACTCAAATGTTAAATTTGTAATTGGCACATTATTATAGCATTGCATTGGAGATGCTCTAGATTTGGAGCATCCACAAATGAAACTCTGATCAGAAGGGTTTCACCTCTATAAACTGAAACTAGGTCTGGATTTTTTTTCGGTTGTGGATGAGCTTATTGTGTAATAACAACATTTCATTTTCGTGAAGATTGTCAGGTTAGTTGGTGAAACCAAAATTAGGAATAAAAGTTGGGACGGAAACTATGAAAGGGAAACCTTAAGCGGGTCAGATTTCAAATTAGACGTGAATAAATATTGGTCCTTCAGTTCTTTATAGGAGTTGAGCGGACGATAGAGAGGATTCCCATGGAGGGCCTCGGAATTTGAAAAAGAATTGTACATTTGGGTAGTAGTATACAACGATACAACTCTAAAACTAGAGATCTGAGTTGAGATTGAAGCAAATCTTGGAACACAAGGACTGGGATGAATTTATTTTGGAGAGAGAGAGAGAGAGAGAGGTTTTATTGCGTAGCTGATGGCTTGATGTTGGTTCCATGTAAGATTGATGCGGAACAAGTAAGTTTTTTTTGTTTTTTTTTGTTTTTTGTTTTTTTTCGAAGAAGAAACAAGATATAGATGTTTTATTAGGAATATTTAGGTTAGTCAAATTTATCTCATAAATATGTTTTGTTTCTTTATAAATATGTTAGCGGATGTATTTCAATTCAGACTTGGTTGATGAATGAATATTGAGATTTTGAATTCCCTTTTTAAGCGGATCTATTTATTTGTCTTAATTCCATATCTTCTTCATTGACACTGCATCAAACGTCTCTTGATGTAACATTCCATCAAAGTTGCATCCTGTGGGACTGGGAATACATCCCAACACGGATAGATGGATTTTCCACCTCAGTGTAGTTCTTTCTTGAGCTATATTATTCTTGAAATCTTGTCTCACAATTTTTTTTCCCCTTGTCTTGACTCTTGGGACAAATTGGCGTTCTAGGTCATCCATGATAGAGGCAGTGACATTATTATTGTGGGCCGTGGAATCATCAAGGCGGCGAACCCCGCTGAGGCAGCCCGCGAATATCGTCTCCAAGGATGGGATGCATACCTGGCCAAATGCAGTTAAAGACTTTGAACTCCCATTTGCAGTTGAGTCGCAATTTTTGGTTCAGAAATGTTTGTTTGTTGTTTCACATGTAACCCAGAGAACCTGAACACTTTCTGTTTCTGGCATAAGGTGATTCTATGGTGTCAAATCTTGAAGTTTGACTTTTACCAAATTGAAGATCATTTTAAATAAATTTATTTTACATTTCAAAAATCAGGCCAGGGTACCAAAAGAACATTTCTTCAAAGGTAAATATATCGTCCTAATATTATTAAAAACATAGAGTATTAGCGAGATGTTTCGTTATAACAAAGGGTACTAAAATAATTTTATCCCATTTAAAAATCCGTCCTTAGTTTTATGGTTAGGAGTTAGAATTGCCCCAAAAAAAGGTTTAGAAGACCATGATCAGAATTGCCCCAAGATGCTGAATAATGAATATTATGCTCAATCTGATTTTGGAACAGACAGCAAGTTATATACGTTAGTGGCCTGTCATTTTTTAATTAGTGAATGTCATTATGTGTATCAATAGTAAGTTATATTTTAGGATAAATTTTATTTTTACCCCCCAAAATATAGTCAGTTTAGCATTTTGCCTCCTAAACTTAAAAAACTGCTCAATACACCCCTTGAAAGTTTCAACCGTTAGCACATATACCCCTTCTGTTATGCTCTGATTATTTGGTGCTGCTGTGCCATTTACTTAAAAAAGGAGATTTTTTAGTACATCTAGTGTACCGTTGGGCTAAGTCTTTTTAATTTTTGAATCTATATATTTTTTAATTTTTACATGATTTTATGTAAATTCGACGGACAAAAAACTTACCTTATCAGTATCTTAACTCACCGGAGAAGATTCCTACCTAAAAATAAAAAGTCAAATAGAACTAAAATCCGCAGTTATTAAAGAAGTTAGTAATTAAAAATCCAAATTATCCTTGATAACAAATAAAAAAGTAAAATTTCTTTAAAAAAAATAATTTATGCAGAAAAAAATCCCTTCCCTTTCCTCTATTCCCATGAACTCTTTGCTTGAGCTCGTCCGACTCATTTTCTTCCTCGGATTTAATCGTCCGCCTTCTTTTGTTGATTCGGACTTCGACGGGAGTGAACAGCGCCAACATTGAATTCGTGAGGCACATAGAAATGTGGAATAAAACCAACTTTTGATCTTTATATTTTGGTTCATGTAATTAAAGGTGCGTTTAGTAGATGAATTCAGAATTCTAGTTCAGAATTAATGTTTATTTATAGTGATTCAGAATCAGTGTTTGTTTATAGTAATTCAGAATCAGTGTTTAGTTTGGATAATTCTGAATCATGATTTGAAATCTAATGTGATGTTTTAAACTAGCTCAAATCATGATTTTAAAACCACTCTTTTTTTATTTAAGGTAATTCAAACTCCTGATTCTGAATCATAGTTTCATAATCATGATTTGAACTCAAAATTGTGAATTATGGTTTTGGTTTCAGAATCATGATTAGAATCACATTGGTTTGAATCTTTGTACCAAACTGATCTTTCACTCGAAAAAGAATTCTAGGCTCAGCTGAGTGAAAATTGGCACCAACACTTTGAATCTCACTCTCCTTGTGAGACCCACATGGATTTCTTCTTACTCATCTTTGAAATGTGAAGAAATATCAGACACCACATCACACTGTAAATATTTTTAAGTGGGTAGCAGTCTCAAAGGCAAAGCCCACTCCCTCAACATTTCTTCGGCAAAACAATATTTAACACTGCAATTTTCTCTTGGCGACCATGGGTATTGGTCTCTGGGATGAAGCATCTGTCCTCTTTTTTTTTTTTTTTCTATTGGATATTTTTTATTCATTTTATGAATAATTAAGATTTTTATTACTAATAGTTATGATAATTGACTCAAATTAAGTTTTTAGCCTTTAATTCAATGCCACATCAGCACCAACTAAACAGAGTATAACAGAAGGGGTTTGAGGGTGTATTGATCAGTTTTAAAAATTTAGGGCGCAAAGTGACTGTAATTAAGAGGTAATATATTTTATTAAATTAAATAAAATTAGGATGGTTGAGTTGGAGTAGATTGAATACTAAAGAAATTATTCAATAGATCAGATTTAGTGTGTCATATTATGGTTATGTAATTATGTTTACATTTCCTATTGTATTTTACATTAGTTGCGCAGACAAAAACTTATTAACTTCAAGTAATATAATTTTAAATTTTAACTTAGAAATGTCATCCTATTAGCTCTAATTTGTAAAAAAGTTAGAAAAATAAAAAGATTATATCGGATACCACATTTAGAAAGAAAAAAAGAAATGTGTATATATATACATATAGATATATAGATATATATTATTTGATTGGATTGAGTATTGCCAACGATCATTCAATGCCAACCGACTTCCAGGATCAAAGCAATTTTAAACAATGTACGATCAATTTTACAATCTTTGAAAATTGCGTACCTTAGATTTTTTTTTTTAATATAAATTTTAGGGGAGTAATGAGAAGAAAAGACGGATGCCTTGCCACCCATTTATATAGATAGACAAGCAAAGAGACATTGCTTCCTAAATTCCAAAAATACATGACCAGCAGACAGAAAAGACTTGCCTCCTAAACTACCAAATTACAATTTGAAGAGAAGCTGAAATGAGAAATTCCAGTCACTGTTCTTTCCAAATTCTACCAGTTACCCTAAGTTTCAATTCCTTTCGGTCTCCCCCGGAAAAGAAAAGAGCCATATTTCGTTGGATGATTAGACCATCGAAACTGTCACGAACTTTTCGGTGGCTATCTCTAATGCTTCTCGGAACCCCCTGCCAAATCATCTTCCTGCCATTCCCACCCACTTCAAGACTGTAGCTGTAATTCTTTGCCTCATTATCATCACCCATGAACCGCAAGAATGCTATGTAGACGGGAGCCATACCAAGCTGGAAAGCCTCAAAATGCAGACAAAAATACTGGCCAAAACAACTAAAAACCTGCAAAAGACAAGAAACTAAAATCTTCATCTGTCCTATAAAGGTGGCACTTTTGAAAGGTCTCTGTACATAGTGGCCTCTCTTTCTCAACCCATCCAAATGGGCGGAAACGAAATTTTCCCAATTCTGTCTATTGATTTATACGTATAATTTTTCTTTTGAATCAATGGCATTCATTGAAGGCCAGTGAAGCAATAAAATGGATCACTCTTACTAGCCTATAAATCATGTGTGGCATAAGTGGTATACCATCTAACAATCAATCACTCACAAAGACAACTCAATTGGCCGACAGTTCATGATATCAAGGTGTTCTACGTAGGAAATAGTATCCTCACGAGAAGTTCTTTAACTAAAAAGAGAAAAACTATGCATAACCAAATCTTCTGCATCAAGATTAGGTGACGTGATATCCGCATGCAATGTTGATCTTCCTGAAGAATGCTTAGAAAGAAACACAGTTGAACAAATCTAACGAGTTGAAAAGTAGATAAAGGAACTAAGGATCATAAATGGAACATTAAGAGAACAAGTAAAGCAATACCGTTAGCATCCACGTGGCATTTTCAACCTCCTGAGGATTTGATTTGACATAACGATGGTTGAAAGTGCTTCCACTATGCATGTCAACTTTGTGATCATCTTTTAAATGAGTCACCAGATAGGGAATATCACCCATGACGGTGCATTCTGATCCAGCATATGGACAGTTATACGGCCTATAGACGCACTGTGATTCATGCTTTAGCTTGCTATAATAAGGGTATATACCAAGGCAACCATAACTCTGGTATTTACATGGAAGCTCGAGGGATGCAGCCACTTTCTCCAAAGCAAGACACCTAATATTCCCAAGCTCATACCTGCAGGTGGGGCACCGATTATGAACTCTGGGCTTGCAACCAGAACATAATGTGTGGCCATTTGAACACTGCAAACAATGAAGAAACACCATGAGCGGGAAAAAGCGTCTTTTTTTTTTGCAACATCTGAAGTGGTCTTTCTTACAAATATTTTTAAGCAGCACTGTCACAAACTCATAATGTATGTATAATTTAGCGTGATTCACGATAATACATGCAAAGAGGTTGCCAACAAATAATGAAAATAATAGAAGGAGCAGAAATCCAAAGTCCGCACAGTTCCCACATGGTCATTTGTGGTGTAATGAGAATAGCTCTAAGGAACAGGCTTTCAAAATTTATTCAGATTTTTTTCTTAAGCAACCTACAGGCTTATTTGATTTCAGCTATCTTCTAAGAGGCAATTATTAGTCTTCTAAATAATAGAGCACACAAGTACTATGTATTAATTCTGACAAAAGGATAAAAATTATGTTCCTCCAATTTCGTTTTGGATAGATCTGATAACAAAGTTCACACTTTTCGATCACTTAATAGGGTTATTTGAACAAACATGATAAACCAAACCTGATGAATAGGAGGATACATAGCATTCAAACAGACGGGGCACTCCAATAGCTCACGAACACTGCTAGAAACGGTTACATTAGATTTTACAGCACTTGAAGCAGAATCATGCACACTTTCACCCACATCGGTTGTATCTTCACACTCAGGGGGATCAATAACCTCAGATTTGGTGCGCATGTCTTCGAAATATGGATTCCCAGATGCCATGTAAACACAACAGGCAACTTTATCTAAGGAGGAAATAAATAAACAATAGACACACAACAGGTCAGGTATCAAATGAAAGGTATCCAAAACATACAAAATTGGAAGATAATTTTATCAGATCAAACCAAAAAATTTGGAGGGAAGAAAGTTGTCCCTAACTTTTTTAGTTAGACAGAATTTCTTACAACAAGAATGTGAACAAATTGTTCATTTTACGAAAGGATCAAGATCAACCAACTAGCATCATAAGTAAGTTTTTCAGAAACAAGTCAACAACTACATTACGTAAATCCTGGATTTCACCTTGAAAAAAAAGAAAAAAAAAGAAAATGAGGAAGCCTTGCCTTAAAATGATTTTATTTCAACTTTATCTATAACATAAACTTTCAAACAAGAAACAAAAAAGTTATAAGCTTTGAATTTAAATCATAAAAGACTTTCACACAAGAAGAAAGTAAAGTGAATGTTATGTTGTATCAATCAAAAAAAGGGAGAAAAAAAAAGCTTTTCATTTTCAGCAACTTAATAGAATATGCAGTTGAAGTTCTATTTATTTTATGAGAGACCATCACGTTATTACTAGCACAAATAAGTAAAGGATAATTATAAGGATCCAAAGTCATCTACCAGATTTTAAGCACAAAGTGATGTAGAGAGTGAATTTTATATTTTTAATAGATGAGTCTATGCATTCATTGATGTATTTTACCAACTGAAAACTAACAACTCGTTCATCAAGTCACTTGGTATGAAAGACTAATAGAAAACTTGGGATCCCTAACATAGTCCGTGAGTACATTTTATAAGACACCTCCTATTAATGAAGTCCTGTTGACAAATATTTCCAAGAGACCAAGACTTGAGGATACATAAAAAAGAAGAGCATATCATTGACATTCAGACGGGTATCTATAGAATAGATCATTATAGCAATTGCTAGTTCGTGAAGTAAATCGAACTTTTAATGAAAATTTCAAGAGTAATATAGCTTTACATAGTCATCATTTAAGGGTTTGAGCCTTGAGGTCTCAAAAAGAATACAAAGAAGAGCAAGTTATTAACAAAGAAAATGAAATCAAGGGAAAAGTAAATGTAGAATACATTAGGGGCCCATTCAGTTCGCTGATTCGAGTTTTTAATTTGAGTTGAGATGTAATTTTATGTGAGAGCTTTTTACTGTAACAAAAAAGTTAGATGTGGCTGTTTCTGAGAGCTTTTTACTATAGCAAGAAAGTTAGATGTGACTGTTTCTGAGAGCTTTTTACTGTAGCAAAACTCGAATTTTAAACTCGAATCGGTGAAATGAATGGAGCCTAGAGATTAACCTTTGTTGTACAGAACAATGTAATGTTCGAATAGTATTGATTGAAGCATCATTAGTGTGCCAAAAGTTATAAAAAAGCTACACAGAATATCCATCATAATGAAAGAAGAATTATACGATCACATATCTACTGGAATTTAACAGAAGCCATAACGAGGCATAGTATTTTTTACCATTGGGATTATTATTCGAACCATGCAGCAATAACAAGCATCTAGAAATTGAGTCAATAAATTTAAAAAAAAAAAAATTATAATTATTACCAGAAACCTTCTTTTGAACTTTGCTGTTTGCCTCCAGGACTTCTTTCGAAAATCCTACCAAGCAGCCACGGCTCCTGATCATCAAGAATTTCGGACCCAAGTCAAAGAACAAGATAAAACAACAACAACAACAACAACAAAAACCCAAGTGTAATTTTTAATTTTATCAGTCAAAGTCCAAATGACAACGGCAAATCAATAAGCACTTCCTTGTGTACAACAAAAACACTAAAACTTGTACTGTCTAACAAAAAAACATTTCAAAAAGTTGAATTTTTTTTTTTTACTTGTTTATGACAAGATTACATATAAAAATTCTCCATACCGTCAAGATAACAAACAAAAGGAGTTTTTTTATTTAAATAAAAAAAAAAACTTCGAAAAAAGTTACTCTTATCTCAACAGATGCTGATAACACACTCTCAAAAACCAACCTCCTACTTGTCTTATACAACTCTATTTAACAATGCATTTACAGAGTCAACATCAAATAAATGAGTCAATATGTAAACAAGTGAATTAAGATAAACCCAAGTAAAAGTCAATTAGAAAGTAATTATTTGCATTATTGCATATCAACAAAATCAATTAACAATAAAGACAAATATCCTCAGAATCAACTTAGATAAGCTAAAGCAAAAATCTGACAAAAGAAATCCACAATTTCAATATAATTATCTAGATCACACCATAATCCATGGACCTCAAATAACGATAATTCGTTCAAAAACGACGGAGATAAACCCCAGAAATCGCGCATTGAGATTTTCAAAGAACCAGAACGCAAAAGATCTAGAACACGTAGAAAATCAGAGTCCGAAGAGAAAAAGAAAACCAAAGTAGAGAAATTAACGATCGATCACCAAAATAAACAGAAAGGAAATGAACGAAATAATGATTAATAATAAACACAAACGAGAGAATACCTTAAGATGACATTGACTTGGTTGAATCAAAAGCCCCAAACCTAGGAGAGAGAAATCCCTAGGAGAGAGAAATAGTTGGAGGATGAACGGCCGTCTTAATATGAATGAAAGAGCGGTAATGAACTGAAAAATAATAAAGGTCAAAAGGTCTCGTTGATTATCAAAAAAATAAAAAAAAATAAAAAACCAAGTACGCGTATTCGAGCAGAGGAATTTCAAATTAAAGCCGTTAAGAGAGAGAGAGTCAGAGGAGCGTCGAACGTAGGAGAGGGAAAGTTCTCGAGAAAATACAAAAAGGAATGGTCAAAATCAGTGGGCCCAAGTTTGCATTGGGGCTCTGAAATTTGTTTCTTTCTTCTTATATTTTATTATTATTATTTTATTTTTTAAAACTATAAAAAAAAAAACTTTGTCCTATCCACTCTCTCTCTCAATTTTTTTTGTCCTTTTTTGGCTGAAGTCTTTGTTTGGTGTACTTGTTTGGTAGACGCATTCTTTTTGCTTTTTTCTTTTTTCTTTTTGAGAAAATTTTTAAACTCACTTTTAAAATGTATAATTTTAAATTTTTATTAATTAAAAATTTTTTAACTAATATAATTTTTTAACTTAAAACAATATTAATAAGAATAAAAAGTAAAAATTTAAATAATATTAAATATATAAGTATTTATTTCTTTTTCTTTTTTTTAAGGAAGTTTTTATTTAAATTCTTTACGCACATGTACTTTTTTTTAGTAGTCTTCTTACCGGTAAGATTAGCTTTGATTATTAGATTGGACAAATTTTATAAATTTATCTTAAATTTCATCACTTGTGTGAATTTTAAAATGTGCATGTTGTGCTTCCTGAACTTTGTCACTTATGTCAACATGTCATTAAGGTTAACTCCGTTAAGTTTTTAACATAAATGCTTATAAATGTCACTTGAACTTTGTCACTTGTGTTAATATGTCCCCTAAATTTTAAAATGTGCTTGTTTTGTCCATCGAATTATGATATGTTTCTAACTTTTTTCTCTCCATCTTGATTATATCAGTTTTTTGAACGAAGTGTTAATATTACCATTAATTATCTATGACCATTAAAATGTTGATATTTTCACCGTAATCTAAGGTTTCGAAATTAATCTCACTATCTCTTCCAAGCGTCAAGTAAGACAATATGTGCAAATAAACAATATCCATATCTAACTTGGTTATAAACACATTCATTAAGTTCAATCCTTCGATGATTATCTAAGTAGTTGATCATTTTCCGGTCTCATAACCACCAATATTCTCATAACAATTACCTAAGTGTTGATCACCTCCTGATCTCACAACAACATTAGATTGTGCTTCTCTAAACTGATATTCGAACTAATCTTTCTCGAACATCAACCCAAATATCAAAACAACTAGTCCATTTTCCAATCAAACTAGAGGAATTATATACAAGAGAAACACAAATGAATCATGAAAGTCACTTAAAATAAATCAACTCTTCATAATTAGGCAAAATCAAAGCTCTGGAAAAACAACTACTCCATAACTAATATCAAACAAGCAAATATCAAGGGTTCACCATTTACAAATCACAAGAATAAAAATATGAGAATAGGAATGACAAATCTAATTTAAAGTTGTCACATTCTCCAAATTTTTATGTATTATTCTCCTCTCCTTCTTCTTGATGTCCAAATGCTTTCTCCCTTTATAATTTATTGAAAATGAAACATAAATCTAAAACTAGAAAAGTAAAATAAGAAATATATTTTTTATTGTATTTTTTTTCCTCCTAGTAATGGCTTAGAAAAACTTGAGTCTGTTTAGTTCATTAATTCTAATTGAGATGTAAATTTATATGATAATTTTTTATTATAATAAAAAAATTAAATATAATTATTTTTAAGAGTTTTTACCTTATTAATCACTCTCCCTCTCCTTTGGTTTTTTCTCGGTACTGTGCTTGGAGCTCTAAGAGTCTGTTTGGTTAGAATATTCGTTCTCTGATTCGAATCATGATTCGCTACAGTACTTTCTTTCATAAAAAACACACATAAATAAAAATAATTATAATATCATGGTTCTAATCTATGAACCAAATGAGCTCCTCAATAGTGGCCAAAGGGAAGAAGAACCAAACAAGCCAAAGTGGGCTTCTGTGGATCAGGACACATGGCGAGATTTTGTTGGGCAAGAGGAGATAGTGGGGGACAGGTGGCAAGTGGCGTGCGCGGATAGGATTTGGGCTACACCTTGGTCTGCTGGAAATGAGAGAGAGAGAGAAAGTGGAGTACACATGCAAGATCTTGGCCGTTGGTGAGTGATCCCACGGCATTGATGGAGATTTGAAGCTTTTTTCTACTCGTAAGATCGTGGAAATTATTACAGCTGATTCCCAATTCGAATTTTAGAACTTTTTTCTTCATATTTTCACCCCATTTTGCTCCAAAATAACATTGTAACCCCTCTGTCACCAAATGTAAATTAGACAAATGATAATATAATTATTTTGTAAGGGAAACTAAAATAGAAATTACTAAAACTAAACTAAATAAACAAAAAGTAAATAAAAAATTTAATGAAAATCTAGACTAAAATAAAATTAAATGAAATGAAATTAAGTAAAAGTAAAATAACTAAATTTAAAATAAAGTAAAATAAAATAGCTAAAAATTATCAAAATATAGCAAATTTAAGTGCAAAAATAATGAAATAACTATGGGGTTATTCTTTTACAACAAAACTCAGAAAAAATTTAAACTCAAGTTACAACTTTATTCAAGTTCACGTTCTTTTAAGTTCTAACTTTATTCAACTTTATTCAAGTTACAACTTTAACTCAAGTTATAACTCAAATTCAACTAAAAAACTACACTTAAGTTACAGTCCAAAAGAACAACCACTATATTTTTAATAGAGTTATTAGGTGGGAGTTATGGGTTTAATCCCGTGTTGTATCACAAAAAAGATATAAGCCTTTATGATTGTATGTTTATATCATTTATATGATTGAGACCACCTGTCTAATTTTAAATGTCTTATATTGTGTCAACTAATTACACTTTTGACACATATTTAATGAGAAGTGAAATTTTAAGTTTTTTATTTTTATTTTTTAAAATGATGTGATATAATGTGATTGATTAGACAAGTCTATAACAAATACTTTTAAATGATGTGACATAATGTGATTCGTCATACATTATTTTGAACACTAAAATCTAAATTTTTTTATTTTAATTAATCAATTTAAATTAAGCAGATGAATTAATTAATTTATGGGATAAAATCATTTTGATAGACTTTGTTATAGCAAAACATATTTTTAATATCTCATAATTTTTAATAATATTAAAACTGTATTTTTACCTTTAAAAAATATTCATTTAATACTCTGATGCTGAATTTTAAAACATATATGTTTTACCGTTCTATAATTAACAACAAACTAAGGGTCCGTTTAGGTAGCTAATTCGAGTTTTTAATTTGAGTTGAGATGTAATTTTATGTGATAGCTTTTTACTGTAGTTAAAAAGTTAAATATGACTATTTCTGAGAGTTTTTTACTATAGCAAAATTTGAATTTTAAACTCAAATTTTATTTGTCTAGGCCCCGTTTACTTCGTTGATTCGAGTTTATAATTTGAGTTGAGATGTGACTTTATGTGAGAGATTTTTACTGTAGCAAAAAAGTTAAATGTAATTGTTTGTGAGAGCTTTTTACTGTAAAAAACTTTAAATTCTAAATTCGAATCAGCGAAGTCAACGGGGCTCTAGTTTACTTGTTATTTAGCAAAAGGGAAAAATGTCTTTTTACTATTTAAAAATCGTGGTTTCAAACTTCAAATTAAGACCCCCAACCGGGTTAGGCCCAAACCAAATCCAAGCCCAAATCTTAAGCCCGTTTTCAAGACGTTGCAAGCAAGTTATAGAGCTTTCGGGTGAAGCATAGCATCTAAAAATAAAAGAGTGTCATTCTAAGCAAAAACCCTTTTCTCCAGTTCATTCGCATGCCTCCTCAACCTCAGCAGTAATCATTCTTCGCTTTTTTTTTTTTTTTCCCTCTTCATATCTGTCCAGAGAAGTGAATTCTCGGTCGCGATTTCAACAATTTTGAGGTGAAATTTCGGCGATAAAAGAAGATGCCGGATATGCAGGCCCTCGTTAATGAATTCCTCGTGAAGCTTAAGAAACGGTAAGTTGTTCATGGCAACTATTGACTATTAATGGGTTTATTTATTTATTTATTATTTTTTTGTTTTTGGTTGATATATAATAATAATGTTTTGTTTTTGTCAGTAAAATCGAGGGTTCGCAGGCGACGGCGAAGCAGACGGCTGAATTGATTCGGTCGGTGATATCGCAGCAGCGAGTGCCGTATTCGAATCAAGCCGGCGCTTTGATGGATGCCGTCAATGCTGTCGGAGAGCAGCTGATTGCTGCCAATCCTGTTGGTACGATTTTTCTTTCTTATTATTCTGTTTCTGAGTAAATTTTCTTATTAAATTGCTAGTAATTCATGGCATTTTACTAAATCGAAATAAATTGTAGTGGAAGAGAGATTGGTTGAAATTGGTGATAATCAGCCTTAATTCTCGTTCTTTAAGGGAGATGAATTTCTGGTTACACTAAAAGCTTGGTTTTTTGAGGGATATGAAAATTATGGATGTGTGCAAAAATTATCCATATTTTTAGCAATTGTCTTTAATTTTGTTGAATGAAAAAAATTGTCCATTTTCTTGAATAGAACAGGTAAATCCCTGATTGAACAAATATCAATAATTGATTGATCAATAGTAGTAAGTATTCAACCAAAACTTCTCTCTCTGCTGCCGGCGCCCCTGCCCTACCCTGTATACCAGTGACGCCGGAAGTGCACCTAAAAATTGGGAAAATATTGAAAAAGTGCACCGTTTCAAATTTTATTCAAATTCAAGAATTTGATTTACGTTGAAAATTATAAATATATTAGACCTACGTTGGCAAATTATATGAATAAAAAAATTTATCAAAAATCAACCAACCATTTACCAAACTGAGTTTTTTTTAATAAGGATTTTTTTTTTAATTTTTTTTAATTTTAAATTTAGCACAAGTAGAGATATTTGGTTAAAATGGGCTTTAAAATGGTCAATTTCTCAAATATATTCTTATTTCTAAAGCTTGATATCCTTTCGAGGAAACTAATTATAGTAAAGCATGTGTGGAGAATGAACGTCTTCTGTGGCCTTTGTTGGGTGTTTGAGTTGTTCTTTCTTAAAGCATGTCTTAAATGTGAGAAAAGGAAGAGAGTAGATTTTGCACATTAGGTGAGCCTAGAACATTACTTCATGAAATCAAGTAATTGCAATATTGTAAAATGTAAAGTTGTGTCAATGTAGTATGATTTATGAAATGCTGTTTTCTGTTCCAGTTTTATAATATTCACCTGAATTGCTGGCAGATGCTTCGTTAATTGAAGTCTTCGTGTTTTAAAATCTCATTCAAAGATTATACTTTTTATCCTTTCTTATGTGTATTAGCAAGGCATATTAATTCTTCTTACATGGCAATGTTCCATGTATATTAATTGCAGAGCTGGCTGTGGGTAATATTGTCAGACGTGTTTTGCACATTATTAGAGAAGAGTATCTTTCTCTTACAACAGCAGCCGTGGCTGGCTTGAACTTATTATCCGTAAGTGATGATGAAGATGATACTGAGCACGATGATCATCCAGTCCTATCAGCTGCAGCTGTTGCTGCTGCTGCAAGGAGCACATTGCGTCCCCCTTCGTTGCAGACCCTTCTCGAGGATGTTCCTGATGCAACGGCTATTCCTCGTACTTCTTCATCAGGGGGTGATTCTGAAGGAAAAAGCAAATGTGAGCTTCGGTTATCAACTTTCTATAGATTTTCTAACTTTTTTGACTGAACTTGATGTGTTTAAGCCTTGTTAAATGTGGAGTTTAAGGACTCCTTTTTTTTTCGGTTTACTGTGTGGACTAAGATCAAAATTTTGGATAGGTTTCTGAGATCATAAAGATGAGGAATTTGGTAGTTTTTATTTCAGCTATTGTTAGAAATTGGAGTAATCCTCTTCGAGTTTTTTCTGAAGTGGATAACTCTCTCTCTTTAGTTTGTACATAATTCTTAAAGTTTCTTGTTTCAAAAGCAGTGTGGACTATACTTGGGGATTTGTAGATTAGTAAGAGGCTTTTCATTGTTTTACATACATAAGCATTTACTTTTCCTTACACTTACAGCTGCTGATAAAAGCTCAAGAACTCGGAAACTGAAGCATGATGTCATCGAAGCAGTCAATGAACTTATTCAAGATATCAGCACTTGTCATGAACAGATTGCAGAGCAAGCAGTAGAGCACATTCACCAGAAGTACGTTTATTTTTCTTTAGCTCTAGTATATTTAAGCTTGGTTTTGCTAGTGCATGTTCTTTTCTTTTTCTTTATTTGTTCCTTTTGCTTGGTTAGGTTTTACTCTTTCCTCGTTACTTGAGTTGACTAGGAATCAACATTTGTCTCAAATCTTTAATTTCCTCTTATTGTCGATCTTATTCTGTTATGATGTTAGTTGTCAGAGAGGGAGTATTCTATTCATAGCATCTATACCATGCTTTTGGTTTCTGCATTGTCCATAAAAATTGGTGTAATCTAGTATCATGTTCAAATAATTTAATGCTCTATTGGTTCAGTATCCAGGTCTCAATAATTAGGCTTTCTTTTTGTAAGCGTATCAGAATAGTTGTAAATTTGACATTGATTTTCTCAGTGTTCTTATTAATTTTTTTGCATTAGTTAATGATGACGTTTTCAATGACTGAGAGCTGCACAGGGTTTGGATTGTTACTGAAAGAACATGATAAATTTATAATGAAAAGCAGGATGCAACTTAATTCACGCTGATGAGGAAACACCCGAGGGGTAGATTATTTGCATACATGCTTAGTTGTAGCAGAAATTTGGAAAGATTATTGGTCCAGATGTCATAATCCATATTCCATCTCACAAAAAAAAAACACTATATTCCGAGTTCAATTTTTGTTTAACTTTGTGCAGTTTAATCCATGTGCTAGTTTGCAAGGAAAACATTCAAAGTACCAGAACCTAATGATAAAGGGGGATGAATTAGCTAATAAGTAATAATTTGAAACTAGATTGTGTCATGATAACACGAAAACAATTTTTTTTTTTTGGTTAGATAAGACTCAATACAATTACCACAAAATATACAAAACGAATGAATTGACGGTTTGAGTTTTACCTATGCAGTTTCTCAGTTGTGGAGGACCTCTTGTTCTCCTTTTCCTTTTATGTTCTTACACATGCGTGTGCGCGCGCAAACTCACACACAGCACACACAAACGAGTAATAAAATTTAATTGTTTAGATCAAATTAAATACATATATACATATTATACATACATAGCCAAGAATGTTGTCCCTCAGAGAGATCGGTCCCTCAGGTCATATTTAACAGTTTAAATGGAATGAAATTTAATCTGACGGCTAAAAGAGGCTTAGGGGCAAAAATAGAAAAGCTAGATAACACCTTTTGTTTGTTACTCCCTTAACTATAATGTTATGGTTACTCGTCAATGTATGATAACCATCAATGCATGTGGGACTAATCTCTCTTAGGGATTACAGCCAGCCCTATATGTATTCGATGAATTCAATCTTGTTCACAGTTCTATCTTGTACTTGGTTCTGTCTTCGTTTTCCTTTTATATGAACTAAATTGCTTGTAGACTGCTTTGCTGCAATATCTTCAGTCATGATTTTTTTTTTTTAAATAAGATTGTTTTCCTTATTTTCTTAACCATGTTTCCGGTTGGACTGATTTTCCAGTGAGGTAATATTAACTTTAGGAAGTTCAAGAACAGTACTGGAATTTCTTTGTGCAGCAAAGGAGAAAAAGAGATCCTTTCGGGTATTTGTTGCAGAAGGAGCTCCAAGGTTAGTAAAAAGGCTTCGGATTTGTGGCAAGGAAGGTTGTTAGAGTTGGTATAGTTCCACTTGGTAATATCGTTTCTGTCATTTCTTGCAAATTAGGTATCAGGGGCATCTTCTTGCAAAAGAATTGGTCTCGAGAGGCTTACAAACCACACTGATAACTGATTCAGCAGTTTTTGCCATGATATCGCGAGTAAACATGGTATGATGACAATCTTTTCACCCTTGTTTCTACTTTCCATCTGAACATTCATGTTGTCATTTTATACTAACCTTGAAATTTGTAATGCAAAGGTTATAGTTGGTGCTCATGCTGTCATGGCCAATGGTGGTGTTATAGCCCCTGTTGGGTTGAATATGGTCGCACTCGCAGCTCAAAGGCATGCTGTACCTTTTGTGGTGCTTGCTGGCAGTCACAAGGTAATTTATACCATTGATTGCTTTAGTCAATGATTTTCAATTCATTATGTCCCTTTTGACGGAGTCCCATCTCATCTCTTTTTGTTTTTATGTTTAGATTTTAGGTTGATTTTTTCCTCTTGTTGGCTTTCTTTGTATAACAGTTGTGCCCTTTGTATCCACACAATCCTGAAGTCTTACTAAATGAGCTGAGATCCCCTTCTGAACTGCTGGATTTTGGAGAATTCTCAGAATGCATGGACTTCGGAAGTGGGACTGGTTCCCCTCTTCTACATGTTGTCAACCCAACATTTGATTACGTACCGCCAAAGCTTGTTAGTTTATTTATTACTGACACGTAAGTTAATCTGATTTTGAGAACATGTGTGGAATCCCCTGCTCAATCTGTATCTTTGACTGTGTATATGTGTGTAAAGAGTATAAAAGCTTTGTATTAAAGAAAGTGAAAGCCTTACTAAATATGGATGCCTTTCAGAATCAAGTTATTGTCTTTATTGTTCTGTCAAAGCACGTATACTAATAATTTTTATGTTTTGCATTTGCTGAGTGGGTCTTATTTTCTGTCCTCTGATTGCTTCTTTTTTTTTTGTCATTCATGGACTGTTCTGAATCATCATTTTTCCTTTACAGAGGAGGGCATAACCCATCTTACATGTACCGGCTGATCGCCGACTATTATTCTGCTGATGATTTGGTAGTGCAACGGAGACCTGCTACAGGGAGTTGACTTTTGCTCCTACTTTGTGGTATATTCAGTAAGTACCTCTCTACAATTTCTATTATTACATTTTTTCAAGTTGTGGCTGTAAACTGATCCTTGTTCAAGTAACACTTTTAATTGTTGTTTTTCAACTTAAGATTTTAAGATTGGAAATTCAGAAAGCTCTAAGAGGGACGGAAATTTATGGTTCCATTTGGGTCATTCTTCCTTTATGAGCTTGGATTGATGGACTAGATAACATTTATCAGTCTAATGAATAATGAGTATGATTTTAGAAAATTTTATTCAGATTCTAAAGGGGAGTATTATGCTCTTTTTAAAATAATATAAGATTTATGTCATTGTTCTCTCCTTTATGTATTAACTGCAAGGGGCGCAATTTCTAATTCTCTTAGGGTAATTCTACAAATGGTCCTTGATGTTTACCTTCAATCCCATTTTGGTTCTTGATTTTTCAACGTCCCACAGTTGGTCCTTATGTTTTATTAAATCTCATCCCATTTTGATCCTTGACTTTTCAAACGTCCCACAGTTGGTTCCTAAGGTTTTATTTTGTTTCGGTCCTTCGGTTAACTAGGCATTAAAATTTAATAGAATCTGTATAAATTAGGGATCAAAACTGGTAACAGCTAAAATTTTAGGACTATATGTGGAAATTAACTTTTATTTTTTTGTATTATTTTGGTCCTTTAATTTCTACAGATTCCGTCAAATATTTAATGCTAAGCTACCTGAAGGACCGAAATTGAAACAAAGTAAAACCTCATAGATCAACTGTGGGACGTTTGAAAAGTCAAGGACCAAAGTGAGATTGAGAGTAAAACTCATGGACTGTTTGTGATTAACCCTTTCTCTTAAATTAAAAGTGGAAAGTATAAACTTGACCAGTGGAGAGCTCTAACACAAGAATAATGATACTAAAAAATATTATTGAACAAACCCCTGAAATAGATCCTAAAGGATTGAACATGACCTTGGTAAAAAAAAAAAAAAAAAAAAAAAAAAAAAAAAAAAAG